TTAAGGATTATATATTTTTTGTGGAACAGTGTTGAACAGATTAAACGAAGTGAAGGAAAAAGATCTAAAAAATGCGAAGAGGAGGTGGAATGAGACATCCCTCGCTCAGGCTGTCTTGACATCACAGAAATCAGTATCGCTACTTCATTCAAGTAATAAGCGCTGTGGCTTTGCAGCATCTGTGATTAAGAGGAAAATTCAGGTCAGTTTGTCAGCGATGACACATCTGACTTCTCTGTAAATGGGCTGTAAATTACAGAGTAAAATAAATCTGGACAATTCCAAAAAGGGAACGTTATCTCCCGTAACGATAGCAGGCTTTCACCTTATTTATTTGCTGAGAGCAAAAATGAAATCTAATTATATCTCTCTCAAACATCAGTAAAGGTATGACAGATTTATTAGAATGAACAGGAACACTGAAGCTTTCGCCATATGACGTAGCTTTGTTGTTTGTTTGTTTTTGGGCTCACTATAAGACAGCGCCGGTTGGGCTTAAACCGTGTATTTTTGCCAGTATCTTCATCATCTTGATCCGACCCCTGCTATTTTATAATTCCTGCAGAATCCCAGATCGCTCCAGGATGCAAAACTGCATTTCTTTTTTAATACATCTTAAAAAATAATTTCATGAAGGCATTTTGTGAGCTATAAAATAAAATGAGAAAAATGTAGCAGCTTGCTTAGTAGCATCTTTGACCCACATTGCTATGCTTTGACTTTTCTGTGGACAGGCTAATGCACATAAATCCCACATTGCAATTAATCAGATTGCCCACCCTGACCCCAATCTCTGAAAATGCAGGATTTTCCTGAGAATGATTTTCTCCTGTTAGAAGTTCTTAATTGTGTCATTCGATATTTTATATCCCAGTAATTAGGATATTGCAGGTATCCTTAATAAAAAAGAAAAACAGAAATTTTGTTTCGGTCATTTTTGTTTTGCCTCTTGTTTTTCAGATTGATCCCGTTCTTTCTGCTGAAGTAGAAACGGTTGTTAAAAGGTAGGCCTTCAGCTTTCTTTGTGTTCAAACCGTCAGTTTTGTCTGTTTAATTGCTGTGATGTTCCATCTTTTCAGACTTGCCTGCCTTTGTGCTTCTTTCATGCGGTGCATTGAAAAACAAACGCAGCTCACATGTATCGTAACATAATGTGAACAGAATGCAAAATAGAGCTGAGCGCCAAGGTCCTCTTTTTATTATCTGTCCTCCCACACTCAAGTCTCCGCCGATCTTTCAGTTTTTCGCCACAGGGCTTCACCACAACAGAGATTTTTGCGGCAGGAAGCTGCCCTCTCTGCTTAAGACTTTACCTGGATGCTCCGTTCATGTCACAAACAGTGCAGCTGTGTTTCCTTGCCTGAGCTTGTCACTGCTGTTCAGCATCATTCACGCCTCTGTGAGCCCTGAGTCACACAGAACTGAGTTTTGCCACTGCTTTTACAGAACAGCAGGGGTGTTCTTGGCCCAGGAGAGGTGCCAACAGGAGCTTCATGCTGCCATGAAAAGGTGCTTCGCTGTGGTCAACAGCTCTGTTTCAGAGGGCATGTCAGCAGCCATCTTGGAGGTAAACATCTTTGAGGATGGTGGGTAATTGGACGGCAGGGCAGCACGATGTTCCAACATTGACAAGAATAACAGTTTGGTAATGGTAGTTTGATCTATCAAGGCATCTTACAGAGGAGCTTTTGCTTTTTAATCTAAACCACGTGAATCTTCTGCACTGTTTGTTGTTCAGCTACAATGCTATCTGGACACTTCTGGGACAATTACTCAAATTAATTGCTTGACTCCAATCTTCCCATTCTTGAGTGAGCAAATCCTCTTAATCTTTTTTAAACACAGGCAATTAAGACAATCCACAGTAGGCTTAAAGTGTTATTAGTTTGTTAGCATGTTTCACTTAACAAGGTATTAGCTTGCACAGATTGTTAATTCTTTAAGTGAACCGAAGCACAGAATGGCGGCGCTGTACACCATCCGAAATGCTCGAGTGACTGCTTCTTAAAAATGACAGGATAAACAAGAAACTTTTGCCTTTGACTTATGCTTTCTGTCTTCACCAGGCCATTGATCTCGGGGTACCTGTGCTGGCTAGAAACATTCCAGGAAACGCAGCTGTGGTGCAGCATGAGGTCACCGGCCTTCTGTATTCTTCTCCTCAGGTATATATTGGCTGACCAGCTCTGTAGTTAAGCTAAGCGCTGTAGTCCATACACATAATGACTGTGTTTATGGACTACAGAGAGGATAAACTGTTGCCAGGGCTACAGGGACTCCTTTTACCTCAGCTGACCAGAAAAGTACACAACCGCATTAAGTAGTACCGACACACTGACTGAGAACAACTGGAGGGTTTGATGTCCTCTCCTTGCATAACTGGATAAAATAACAAGTCTCACAGTTTTAATCAGAAACTTTTGACATCATTTTGTAAACTTTGTAGTGGTTTTATCACGAGTCCAATCTGAGCAGGTAAAATATAACAAAAGGCCCCTCCTTGTGTTATATTTTATTTTATGTTTCCTCAGGTGCTTGGATTAGAATCAAAAGAAGTGCACCCTTTAGGGAGAGAACAAAGATACTATGCTACCGCATAGTGATGCAACAATTAGCAGCAAGGTGGAAAGTAAGTAATCCCCCATGAGAACTGCTCAGTCTGATATTCAATGAGGTTTAATGCAATGGGAGATAACAAAGGATAAGGCCAATTGGCAGGGCTTAAGCGTTGTATTGTCAAGATCATGCTGTAGCGTGATGTTGTTGTAATGGTGGGGATAATTCCTCCCTGCACGTGTGCTCCACTGAGCTGCTGGTAGGAAGCTCACACAGATGGTTGCAGCAACTTGGACCGGATAAACAAGGACCTCGGCCAGGACCGACGGGCAGAGAGTGCTAGTCTTTGAGCCGCCTTTGCAGTAGCTCCCGTGCAGGACTTTTCACGCACGCTAAAGTCTTTCCTTATTCTTTCCACTGACAGTATTTCTTGTTCTTCAAGATGGAATTACATGAGGAGTGTGGGTATTAAGAAATGTGTCGAGCAAAGTAAACACAAAAGCACTCACGAGCTTTAAAGAGGAAAAATGGCCTGTCCTGTCGGGCTCTGTAATTTGCACCAAGAGTGAAGTGAATATAAGCGCGCCTCTCATAAGTTGAGCTTTAATCCTTTTGCTGTGAGGATTTATAGCCCTCATATGTCCATACAGAAGAGCTGTTTCCCACCAAGAGCCTCTCCAGACATAATCACATCACTTGAAGTGAAGTAAAGCAAAATGGCCTGCTGACTGGCAGTGGCTAAAACTTTGTGTGCCCATTGGCTCAGTGCAGCAGTGAATGTTGGCTGTCATGTTGCAAGAACACTTCAAGGCACTTTGACTTCATTTTGTTGGAGGCTTCTGACAGGCTGCTGGGCCAGCAGATGAGCAAACTAGGATTCTGAATGCTGAGTTGATGGACCTCATTTCTATGAATACGTGATGGTGTTATTACTCCCTTTTTTTATACTGTTGCTCTTTTATCCTTGTCTTTTCTTCGCCATGTTCCCAACACGACTGGTTCTACAGTATCTTTTTTTTCTAACTGTATCACTTTGTTTGTTTTTCTCTTTTTACATAAGCAAATGAGAGGTGGCAGCTATTAGGATAGAAAAAGGGGGTCTGTTGGGCATCCATATTTAGATATGGAGCCACAAATATCTCCATCCTTTGGCTATGTAAAGACACTTTTGAAGTATTTGCTAATCAGTGCACAGGCTTCTATCTGAGTTCTGTTCTTGTGCTTTGGATTATCGTTTATGCTTTAAAAAATATCTCCAGGCACCTTCACTGGCAAGCTTCAAGTGGCATTTGGCAATGAATGAGACTAATTTTGCCTTTATCCTTGCCAGGAATTTGTGCATCAATCTCAGAGGCTGTTGTCAGATCACGAGCTGAGAGAAAGAGTGGTGAGGAATGGAAAACTCTACGTGGAAGACCGTCACGGCGTGAAACAGGAGAGAGAAACTTACCAGCGACTGGTGGACGCTTTGCACTGAGCACATTAAACTGCAATCTGTAAACTTTCTCAGGGGCTTCAGCAGGAGAGAAGAAGAGCGCGACACTAGTCTCTCTTTGTTGCGCAGGTGTAATTATGCTCGTTTGCATAACAATGCGGTTTTATCTGTACTACCTGACTGAAAATTATGATGAAGAGTGCTTTAAACCAAAGACATATGACATTTATGATGGACTCTTATTTATGGTTTAATTATGATAAAGGCATGGATACTGTGATTATTCACTCTGCATATTAAATGGTTATCGATCTAAAACATTATCACGTTTCTCTTTATCAGACTTTTCCAAATGAAGTCCAAGATTTTTCCAGGTTATGCTACCCCTTTCTGTTTTTTTATGCTGAAATAACTGTGTTACACAAAGAGAATGAACCAGTATAACTTTGTTTAAAGGATAGAATGGCACAAAAGTCCTTTTGTTTGCTGTTACAAAGGTTGATTATGATATCGTACTGCACCAGCGTAAGCACCGTAACAAAAACCTATCAAATCAAGGACTGCATTAGTTCAGGCAGGCCACAAAGACGAGCTCGGCCACGATCCCAGCATGGCAGTGAGTCCCAGCGCTAGCCTACTTCAGCTGTCTGCTCAGTTGATGGTCTTCTATACAGCCAATTGACAAATCCCATATAGGAAGCACTGTTTAAGCTGCTTGCTGCACACCTTCAAGTCGCTTTGCAAATGACCTTCACCCCAGCTCCTGTGTGTCTTTCTTCTTCCTGATGTGTTTTTTCTGTGTTGGGTCTCGATGCTGCTCTCCCCACCTCATGCTGTCCACATATCCACGTAGAAATCTGTGAGGGGTCCCGAAACAGAGCTACGTTTCGAATGTAAAGTACTGCAGATGGAGATAATCTTAATCTCTGAATTAAGCAAAGAAAAAACTGCAGTAGATGACCAACTCAAGTGGCTGGTGCTTAACATAGAAAATCAATTAATAGGCAATATTGAAGATCAGTCTGTTTTAATGTTAAAAAAGCAACTGAAAATTAACCCAACTTAAAATTACAAATACATATTTTATGTTGCATAATAGAAAACACTCCTTTTGGTTCTTATTATTTTAATCAAAGCCATATGTCTACTGAAATCAGTGTCAGATTATGCTGATATAGGATATATTTTCAATTTGGAGACACTTTCTCTGGGTGTCTTTGTACTGTATGCATCAGCGTGTGAGTGCAACAATTTAGAAGTAGATATCCACATGCAGCTTTAATATTTGGTGGCTTTGTGTGAAAAGGGAGTCCGTCTGAATTGGCCATCTCAAACACGATCACACACATCTAACTCTCCAATATTAACAATAATATACAGTACATGTAAAAGGCCTTGATAGGTAATGAAATGTAGAGGAGGGCAATTCCAAAATCATAAATTCTCGAGAGTTTTCAGAGTTGACAAAGGCATTGAGGTGATCAAAGCCACATCTGCTGTACATGTGAGGTCTGATCAGGTTCTCTATTATAACTGGTCCCCAGGCTCTGTGATGGGCACTTGAGGTTCCTCCCCACAGCTGTCCTCCTTTCCAACCCAATGGATGCCATGGCCGTTCTCTCTGGGTGGGAGATGTGGTGAATGCTGGCGCTCTAGTGTGGAGAAGGTTGTGAACTGGACTCTCTTTCTCTTGCTGGTGGGCGAGTGGAGGGACTCTGTGGGCATCGGTTTGCCTCTGAGGGAGCCTACGCAACTGAGGGGAGAATCTGTGACGGAGGCCAGACAACTGGGCCTCCTGGAAAGAGAGCCAGTCTTATCAGGCCCAATGTCTATCACAGTGGTTGTAGTTTGGGAGTCTTGCTGGACCGGGCTGCCCGGCACGCTCATCACCAGCTCAGCATCTGTGCCCAGCCATACCCAGTCGTGCCTGTGGCCTGTGGGTTCCTGGCCGTGAGAGGGCGGTTTCTTGTGCCTGAACTTAACAACATATGAGACACAGTTTACCAGAAAAACCAGGATGGCCAGGCAAAAGACACCCAACAAAGCATACATGCCAATCTCTAAGTCTGTTAGAGGCCTGTTTGCCAAAACTTCTTCACCACCAACTTCTATTTCTGTCGTCCCCTGCCCAGGGGTCTCCACCTTGGTGGGGAAGTTGTTGGAGTTTACCAGATTCCTGGGAACTTTCACCGTGCTGGTGAAGCTAACGCTGCTCATATCCTCCACTATCATGTTGTCTGACCCGTATCCTTTGCTGTTCTCACCAGGGCTGCTCATTAGGCTGACATTAGCCACAGTAGTAGGACTACCAGGGTTTCCTGAATTACTGGTCTTACCCACTCCTCCGAGGCTACCGCTGGTTATCAGGGTTCTTTCTGTAGATTTAATAGTGGTCGTGATCTTCTGTATGGCGCTTTCTTCTCTGTCTAAGTTTGGCATGCGTGGTGAAGCATCCTGGGACGGCTTTCTCTGCTTCCTCTGACGCTCCACTTCTTCCCCATCGTTCCCATAGTCAGTTTCCTTGTTGCTAACAGTACTGCTGTCGAATATTCCATCTGATCGCTTAGTGTTCGCTTGAAATTTGACCTTGAGGGTGCCGTTGCCTACTGCAAAAGTACTTTTGCGTTTGGACTTCTGACAGGCCTCACAGATGGACATCTCTACTCTGACCAAGACTCCCTCGCCCTCTCCTTCTGCCGCCACAGCTGGTGGCGTGCCCTGCACCGACACCACTCCCTGATCTAGAGAGGTCACCGTCACACGGAAAAAGGATTGATCATAAATGTCAAGAGGTGTCTGATTGCCATCACTGAATTGTATCCAGGCACTGACCAAAGCTTCCTAAGAGAACAAAGAAATTGTAAAAAGATTGTACTTTGATCTTTGAATCTAAAATCTTTACATTTAAAAAAATGATAAAGGATGTTACCTGTTTGGGACTCTGTAGCACCTCCTGTGTGGTTGTGGTAGCCAGTATGGCCCTGTTGCTTCCTGCACTGAGCTGTAATGTCATGGAGAGCCCTGTAACCAGCTGAACCCCCAGCTCTGTGATGGTCACTTTGTCATCCACAACTCTGATAGTTGTTTTAGCCAAGATGGCATCAGATAGTGGAGAAAACACCTGTCAACATCAGGTAAAGTCACCTTTTTTAGGCTGCTTCAGATTTGATCTCATTTTTAACTCTTTGCCTCAGACAGAAACGGTTCAATTCAGAAAAAGAGTTACTCTGTGAAAAGGCAGCAAGTTAGAGCTGGCTCACAAGACTAATCCAAAGAGTATTCCAGTTTATTACCTGGATGGCAGTGGTCCCAAAGTCTTTCCCCGACAGCACTCTTCCTGCCTGTAGCCTTGCCACTCGAGTGTCCTCCACCTTCATGAAGTATCGAACCAACCTTGTGACATCCACCTGCCAATCAGACCCCAGGAAATAGGCCTTTGGATCCCGGGGGTCTTCTTGCTCTGCCATGAAATGGGTTAGCACCCTCACAAGGGCATGCTGAAACTGCAGCATACAGCCCTTCCCCTTCCGATCGTCTTCATCACTGTTCCAGCCAGTTCTGGGACATGAGCACAAAAACATACGGGCAGGTCAGGCCTATCAAACAGTACATGCTTTCACCTCTATATCAATCACTCAGCCCTGTCTGTCTCTTTATTTGATTGGATCACACTGAATTATTGCAGTGCATTACATAATGGAATCTAACCTCTAAATCCTCGGAGAGATATGATTTAAATTTGTATGAATAAAAAAAATGCCCCTGGAAATCACACCTACTGTAGAAATTAAGCAAAGGGATTTTGTGTTGTTAGTGGTTTCCTACCTTTTTGAGGTGAGGATGGGTACCCTCCAGCTTTTGATCTGGCTCAGCTCTGTGTCTGACACCTCAATCTGGAGAGGAAGCCGGGGCATCCACACATTCAGTTCGAGCTGAGCACTCAGGTAGCTGTAGGTGAAGTTTACCGTCATCTTTATCTTCCCCTTAACCTCTTTTCCATTTACGAAAACATAGTCACACCTGTCGGACACCTGGAGAGGTAACGATAACATGGAAACAGTCCGCCGGCACGTGAGCATCTTATCATTTTTTGTCTAAGATGATTATGTAAACAATCTACATCAAACTCAGGATTAAACTTGCTAATGAAAGCGATATTCTTCCTACCAATGACAAAAAATAATCAAGTATTCTCATGAAAGTCACCATTTTAACACATCGGCCATTCCTGCAACAACAAATAGCCGTGAAGCAGTTTTGCACTGGATGTGTCACCGCAGTAATGTCAGCTGGCTTTAATAAACTACTGTGATGATCACCGGTGTGAGGCGTTGGGAAGAGGCAGCATTGCAGTTTTATGTTAATCGAAATATCATGTAGTGCACGCTGAGCATCAGTCCTTCACAACCAAGTGCATTCATTACAACAGAATTTCAAAGGTGACCTTTGCAAGTTTGGGCAGCTGCTTCAGCATCATTTTGCGTCACGTCAGGAGGTTTCACTTGGTCGTCTTTGGCCAATACAATAATTAACAAATCACTGAACTCTAGTGACTGAAAACACCCAGGGGAATAAAAGGAAATACACTGACATTGACAGATGGCTAAAGGATGACTACATATATAAGTTACATCTCGAAGCGGTGTGGACCCAAGACGTACGAGATGTGCTGTCACCGGGTCGTGCAATTTTTAGTTGTTTTTTTTTTTTAGAGTATCCTGTGTCATCATTGCATCTCGGAACTGCATCCCGTGGATATGGAACATCTTTAGAATAACCCCATCACTCATCATGTCAGCCCTGCTGCTAACTCGGATGTGGTTTCTGCTTTTATACCTAACAGTGTATTTCTAAGAAGTGGCACAAAACCTTTCAAATAGATGTCAGGGAAAAAATTTCCATGCAAAAACAGAACAACAGACAAGGGCTCATTTATTTTCAGTGCACTTGTGTTGAATCTTCATGTATTTAATTCAGTGTGTGGGAAGTCAGCTGGTCAGCCATGATTTAAGGCAATTTGCTAATTTTCTACTGTGTTAGAGGAGCACTTTCCAGGACCTCCACCGTCTGTTGTGTTCAAATAATATTCCGAAGAATAAGTTAAAAGGGAATGCCATTTTAAATGTGCCATCCGCCAACTCATTCCAGTCACAATCTCATTCTTTGTCCAAGAATATCCCTCACCATTTTCGGTATCGCAAAGATATTTACGTTAAAATGGGATTTGGCTTTCATCACTGGGTACAGTATTACAGACAGGCAGAAATTAAAAATGCTGAAATGCGCGCTTCAGTGACACAACTCTGCACATGCACATAGAGAGTTTTACTGAATGTGCACAATTAAAATATCAAGTAAATATCATGTAATATCATGTAAATGTTTTGGTTAAACTGCTGTATCACCTAATAAAAAGTTCTGGTTAATAACACGTGCTCAAAAATAAAGGAAAACTTTGAAAACACATCAGATCTCAATGGGACAAAAATCATGCTGGAAATCTATACTGATACAGACTGGGTAATGTGTTAGGAACGAAATGCAAATCAAAATGATCAGCCTACAAAGAGCTGGATTCAAAGACACCCTGAAACTCAAAGTGAAAAAATAATGTGGAAGTCTAGTCCATTTTGCTGAATTTTCATTGCAACAGCTCAAAATGGTACTCAGTAGTTTCTGTGGCCCCCACATACATGTATGCATGCTTGACAACATCGTGTTCCTGACATGGCAGACGGTGCCCTGTGGAATCTCCTCCCAGATCTAGACCAGGATGTCACTGAGGTTGTGGACAGTCTGAGGTGCAATCTGGTGGTGTTGGATGGACAGAAACATAAAGTCCCAGAGGAGTTCTGTTGGATTTAGGTCAAGCGAGCATGGGGGCTTGTTAGTAGTATCTATTCCTTTGTCCTCCAGGAACTGCCCACATACGTCACCACATGAGGCCGGATAATGTTGTACACCAGGAGGAGCCCAGAATCCAATGCACCAGCATAGCACCAAAGCAGCTGAAACTGATTCACAACCCCCTCTGATACTTAACTGACCAGATCAAAATGTTAAAATGTTAAATGCTCAGATGTAAATCCTTCATACCTTAAGATATTTCCATATTTTTCTCTGAATCATTTCTACACATTTGGGAATCGCTTCCACCAAAGAGGGAGTTGTTTTTTTTGTTTGGGGTTTTTTTTCCAGGTCACGTGAGCTATAAATTCCAGATAAATCCTTCCCCATCTATCACTAGCAGATTTGATCTTCAGGCAAAAATAGAGGAGAAAATATATCTGAGTCAAGCTGTTAGACTAAGAAGATTAAAGGGAATATTTGTGACTGAATCTGCTATCTGGTCAGCAAACATACAACATGGCTATAGTCAAGGTTGAAAAAGAATATTTTAGTCCACATTCGTCCTCTTGACTGTTCCACATAATTCTGTTTTTCTATAACCCGCACAAATCTGTGCTTGATACAGGTACACTTACTGCCCGTGACCTCGTCATACTGCAAGTGCATTTATTTATTAGCTGGGACAGCTTCCGTTGGATAAACTTACAAAATTCAATTGCACCAGAGAACTGGAGCCCACTGCATGGCTATTTCTTTTTTAATCTTGGATAAATATATCAAGAGCCTTTGACCTCGAAGGCTAGGCACCTGACTTTCAATTTCATCCATAAACAATTTCTGCAGTCAGTCGTGCTCACTTATACAGGATAAAAGGGACAAGTCGCGGGATGGAAGCACAGTGGTAGATTGAGAGGTCATGTTGTGAGCAATTTAGCACAGTAGCTGTTCATTGTCGGGGAGATTGATGGGAAATGTTGTCAAAGTCTCACTAATAGTTTGTTTTACCATGTGGAAAAGAGGGAGAGAGTAAAAGTGACTTTGGAGCAACGTCTTTGTGTTCAGCTGTCCTTCCCTTGACACATAAAACTAACCTTGTCCATGAGTATTACAAAGAAACTACTCAACTTTCTTATGCCTCTCAACATTAGGACAGGGAAGCAAGGTCCAAATATGAAGCACTTTATTGTTGTTGATGGACACTGAAGTTCACATCCTTTGTTCTGTCATTGTTCTTGGAACGTTTAAAACCAAAGGGACGGGGAATTTGTTCATTGTAAAGTAAGTCATAAGGGGGACGTGCAAATCCTACCTTGAGAACGTCTTCATCAGTGGAGCTACAGTCTGTGTAATCAGACACATCCGTGACTACTCCATCTTCCTCCACAGCTACCGTCCTCACAGGCATCACCACCTTCTTTCCCGTCAGCACAGCGGTGTTCAGAATCTCCGTGTCCTGCAGAGAGAGCAAAGAGAAATGAGTTTCATATTCCAGTTCAGTTTTAGAGTTTACGTGGTAGTGCTACTGTCACAGTGACAAAGATTTTTAATTTATTTATTTTTTAATAAGAGTGGCATGGGATGCAGTTAGAGGAGGTAGACAGGAGACACGGGCGATGAAGCGTGACTCAGCGACTCAGCAGCAGTGGCGAGGTAAGAAGGCCAATCCGCCTTTGGGAAGCAAGTGGGGGAGTAGAGTTAAGGCTGGGTGATGGCCCGGTCACCACATAGAAGTAAGAGCTAATCTTGGATTTTTTACTGCACAGGCATGTCCCTCAAAGGGATGCTGTATCACTTCACACATGGGCAAATACCCAGAAACATGGACTAAAAATAGTCTTTATCACACACAGAGCCTGCCTGCGATGCATGGTGCATTGTTAATTATAAATGTCACGGAAATAAGAGCGCTCATCCGCTTCTGGACGAGTTGGTGGTTCGATTCCTGGCTCCTTTTGTCTCATTGTCTTTTGGCATAGATTGGTTGGGTTAGGGCCTTGTTTGATCAATAGCTTCCCTTGGTCTTTGAGTACCTGTTAGGTGACTAAGAGCTGAGCTCTAAAGCACTTTATTCCACAAATGAAGGCTATTTGCGTAACACTATAAATGTGAGGTGCCTTGTTAAAATAAATTGATAGTTATTTGTAGGAATCCTTGGATAATCAAAGCATGAAAATGAAGCAGATGGGTAAGTGTCGTTCTCTATGAAAAAAAAGAAAAAACAACAGAAAACAGACTGCTTCAAATGAAGCTGAATTAATCGAATATTATAAGCTAAAGTGCAGTGCAGTTCTGTGAATGAACAAATCAAATATAAAGAGACATTTGGCCACTCCAAGTATGAAAATGAAGCAGATGGAAACTTGTCCCCTCGAGAGTAAAACCGCTTTAAATTAGGCAGAAATAAATAAACGTGCAACTGAAAACTCTGATGTGAAGGTAGTATCAGTGAAGCTTTTTTCTTTCCTCCCCCCTCCTATAGAAGTAGTGAGCAGCAGCACTAGCTGAAGTTCATGGAGCAAGGCCAAGAGTGATCAGTCAGTGCTAATGTCCCCTTGAGCCAACCATCAAATCTCCTCCTGTTTGGCCTGAGGTCAGCTTCTAATCCACCAGCGAGATGAGCCATGTCAAATTTACAAATCGGGATACTGTAGCTTTTCCACATAGCTTTGAGCACTTCAGCACCTTTAAGATGGAAATGAAGCATATAGCCTGCATAATCTTACTAAAGCCTTCATTAAAAGTATAGCAATTATCTTTTATTTGTATAAATTACATATTTCAATTATATGTAGTCGAACAAATGTGAAAGTTATCTCTCAAAACACTGTTTTAGTTAGGAGCTGGCCCCGGTGACAGATAACTCAGATTCAGCACGGCAATTAAATGTGCTATAATGTTTCTCATTGAGTAGAGGAGATTATATCACGGGTTAATAATAGAGGTAGCACAATAAAAGAGGCCTGCGGCACCAAAATAGAAGCACATGAAGCAGCTGTTAGCAGGAGAGAATGACCACATAATGCACGCTAGAACAGAGCAGAACAACACAGAGGAGACATCAGCTAGTTGACAGTCAACAACACAAGGTCACAGTCTGCTCAAAATAGAAGCCATTTACTAAACAGTCCAAAGCATATCCAGCCTTCTGTGTATGCAAACCAGACAGGAACAGATCAGAGCAAAGTGCATTTTATGATATTTTCATGCACCGACGCTCAAAGGATGCAATCTTAGCATTATTGGAAACTCTGCTGTTGGCAACATCGATCCTGGTGTTTTACTCTGATTAGGTGTGACAGGAGGGATGACAGCTAACTCACCATTATGAGAGGAGCTAGGCCGACAAAGTCTCTCTGAGTGGTATAGATCCTCATGGCTCCTTCGGTCTTGACTCCGTTTTTGGATGTGGATGGTAGCTCCAGCTTCCATATGATTACCTGGCTGTCGAGAGGGCTGCTCAATTCTTCAACTTCAAAATCAATTTGAAGTACCTCCAACAAACTGCTTTCAAGCCTGAGTGGTAAGCAAAGAGCTGTGTTAATTTGACAGATGAAATATGCATTATATACACGTGAAATCACACCTGCTTTATAATTTCAGTACAACACATCTTGTGTTAAAACGAAGATAATCAGACTCTTGTTAGCGCAGCTTCATGTTGCCTCGAGTGCTCTTCGGTTCAAGCAATAATGTAGCTTTTAATGTTTCTAAAGAGACCTGTGTATCTGAGGTTAAGTGATTAAACACAGCACAAAAGTTTACTGATCCAAAACCAGGGTTACCGAGAAACAAAAAGATGTGTAGGCACACTCTGCACTTTCAGTTCAATTCAGTTTTATGTATGTAACACAAAAAAACAAACACAAGTGCCTCAAGGTGCTTTATACTGTAAAATAAAGACCCTGTTAGAGAGAAAACTCTGAAAACTGGGGCCAAGGCAATGGTGGGAAGGAAAAGCTCCCTTTCAACAGGAAGTAACCTCAGGCAGACCCAAGCTTAACCCTTTATTGACCATGGGCCCACCAGCGGGCCCATTTTACAGGTAAATTTGAAGGGCCGGTCAATAAAGGGTTTGAAGGGGCACCCTTGACCTGGACTGGAGATGAGGGGAAAGAGAAGAAAAAAGGGACATAAATATGTTCTGTAGTTTGTCTATTAATTCAATTCAATTCAATTCAATTTTATTTATATAGCGCCAAATCACAACATAAGTCGCCTCAAGGCGCTTCATAGATACAGAGAAAAACCCAACAA